CACTAAAAAAAAACTTGTTACCGAAAAAATTGCGGCCGAGTGAGTCTGAAAGATCTGTTGTCGTTCAAGGCTGAATTATACAAAACACGACTTCAGAATAGCATTTGAATACTTTAAATGACTTTCCGGTAGGTACTCTGGTATTTTCGATTTAGCTTTGCATTTTCATACAGATATTATATTATATCTCGAGTTAGTTTTACAAAGATATACTTTGTAATAAAACGGAAATTGCTTTGTTCACTAGAAAGAATTTCGATTGAAATTCAATCAAATAATGGAGGTAATCTGACAGCAGACTACGCGTCGGAAGCATCGGAAGTAATCTCAATGTCAATGTTAATTTTTCAAAAAAGTGTTAAGATGCTTGTACATTTTTAAAATCGTTTTAAAAACTAATCTCTAAAAGGAAATTAAGCATCAAGAGGAGTGTATGATTTGCTTTTGCAAATTGTAATTTGCGATTGAAAACGATTTTTGTAAAATCAAATGTGTTGTGAATGTTGTTCAAGGGAATAAGAGTTGATAATCAATCCGGAACTATTCTGTACAAATTTTGTTTCATCTTTCTTGGTATTTTTTACAATTTATTTACATTTGGATTTGAACTAAATGATTTTGCCTTAAAGTCCCTCCTTTTGGCTCTCTCTTCAACAACGTTAGTCAGCTTTATGTGTTGATTACCTTTTGTTTTAATGATGGGAAATATTCAGAGATTTACCACAAAATTTATGTTAGTTAACATATATTTCATTAATTTTTCAATTGATGATCAATATATTATTCTATATTATATTTCAACTAGCAATACCTAATGTAGAACACTTGTTTTGAATGTAGGCTAAATGTTATTTATAAATACATAAAATTTCAATCAGGTTACAAAATTAATTTGTAAAATGTTAAACATAAACTAGTATAATATACTATTTACGCTCGTTTAATTACTTTATTAAAATTTCAATTAGGTGTGTAGTCAAATTTTATTTGATTTGATGATGTAGGTATTACTTGGATTAAAAGTGGTTGAAGTAAATTGTTTATTTTTGCATCTATTTGGCACTAATTACAAATAATATAAATTATTATTATTAAAAAAGTAATATCTTATATTATTTTATGAAACTAAATAAATGAATAATTATCACTTAAACGTTCCGGTTTTTTTGACATAAACATACAACTATACTACAAGCGTTTATGATGCTTTTTCTTGTTGTATTTAAACTGTATTTTCTCCTCAAGTAGTACACAAACATAATAAAAAAATAAATTTGTTTGTTTGAGAGCGTCTTACAACCGAAACATGAGTATATAAAAGCTTGAAGACATAAATTCGGCGAATGCACTTGACAGTGTGATATTATACTGTGATTTTAGTGTTATTTTTTAAACTTGGATGATAGTTTTGATTTTCTTTTTCGACAAATCATTATTTTTTTTTAATTTTAAATATTTAATCTAGTGCCGGTAACAAACTTACCTAGAGATTGTTTTCCTCTTTTGTGGCTTCATAATTAACGCTTGCAGGAAGACATTTTATTTTGATAGAGCGAAAAGTCGAAAATAAGTTTTAATCACCTGATCTAACGTTCGGCCAATTTAGCGACACTCTAAATTAATGTTCTGTGGGTTGGAAATCGTTACACGTCGTTTCGTTTCTAAGTTTAGATATTTTATTATCTAATTGGCAACTTGGTAAGTTAAAAAATTCTACCTTGTCTTTTTAGTTTTTGGTTGACGCTTAAATATAAAAAAAAAACTATACACGTACATAATATAGACATTAGACAACGTGTTAACTTATTCGAAACACAATATTTAGCGGTACTCATTATAAATACACTATTGTTAACCAGCTAGACAATTATACAACGGACAAACACAGTAGGGAAGAACATATATTGTATATAATGACATCTTCACTATGGAAGTTCTCCATAGAGAGGCAAATATTTATACAACGGAATAAAATTGTCATATGAGTAAATAAGCGTTGGGTTTACAATGAAACATATTTATTTTTTCTCACGCGTAATGTTACATACTTTTTTTGTAGGTCTCAAATAGAAAATGCCTAATACGATGTTTTGAAGTCAACCGAGACATTTTGTACGATTTAAATGGAGTGTAACAAATTGTACATTTTCATGGTAGTATGTGAAAATTGAAAAAAAATATTATCCATCTAAGGTCTTTCTTAGATGGATAATATCGCTTACACGCGTTTTTCTTATGATAAATACAATTAATAGCGAAGACTGATAAGTACCCAAATTATACCTATTATACTAAAATACGACTATTATTATTTACATAATTGTACATCTAATAATTACAGGTTAAGAGTACGAAATAAGAAAAAAATATACTATTTATATCCAGAATGAATTATCTGGTGGTCGTGAAGCTAATTTGGAATCTTTGCCTGTTGATTGTATTAGTACTAATCATAATATTACAGTAATATAATAGTGCACCGGATAGCAACAGGGAAGTGCATTGAATGTTAAACGCTTGTCCGCCGAAGGACTTACTAAATGCTTCCCGTGGCATTGACAATCAATTATTACTATGCAACAACTATTACAGAAAAAAAAACAATACACAATGTTGAGCCACACATGTTCCATAATAATAAGTAGTACCTTACTTTACAACGCTGTACAGCAGTACAAGTATTTTACTATTAGTGTTACATTCTAGCGTAAATTATCCAAAGCATTCTCGATTTTCCTTTAGAAAATTAAGTACAATAAATACATTTTTTTCTGATTTTTACTTCTAAAACATTAAAATCTTAATGCTAAGATTACTTCAAAGGCAATATAAAGGTTATCACATTATTTCCAAAGCCAAGCGCCGGTCGTTTTTCCGGGATTAAAACTATTGTATTTTTTTTTTTTTTTAATAGTTACCCGTATAAAACTATTTTAGCTTCGATGAGGAGCTGAGAAGGTATTGTTTTTAGTAAAAAAGTTTAGGCCAGAAGGAAAGGTGGAGTGTACCATTATTTTTATCTGCACGCATTTGCCAACCGCACTTCCCCTCCCATCCTAACATTAAAACTATTATAACTTTAAAAATAGTTATCCGAAACTGGTTATCGACCAGTCAAAATGTTTTGTACATTATTCTCAATTTAAAAAGTTAATAAAATATATATATGTTATCATTTAAGTTTCAAAAGTTGCTATCAAAAAAAAAATTAGTTGGGAGTGGGGTAAAAACAAAAAAAAATTGTGAAAAATTGAGATCACATTGTATAAAAACATTATGAAAAAAATGTTAATTTCTTATTTAACCGTATGAGATATTGAGTAGTTCACGATAAGTGGATCACCCTGTATATAAATATTTTTTAAGTTCTATAATATCGTGTGAAAATAGGTTATTGATTTATAGTTAAATATAATAAGAATACTAAATAATCCTTAAATTTTATCAGTATTTATAATTTTGATTATCTAGCGAGTTAGTTTACAAACATATTATAATAACATGTATAACTATGATACTATGGAACTATGTATAATGGAATAATTATTACGAGTATGTTGTAGGATTTTATAAATTAACATGAATTTAACTAACGAAGATAAAACGTTAAAATAGTTTAGCATGAATCATGTTAATATAATTTGATGGGAACATCGGACAAACAAGGGTATTAGCTTGGCTCGGTGATTGGACTGTGAAAAACCGCGTTAATCCAGGTGGGATGTTTATTTATTTTTTTTAGTTGTAATTTTGTAAACCATGTTGCACGTATTTTGGACGAGGATTTATCACGAGCTTTGTTCGTGATGTTTCATCATACGTATGTGCTTTTGGACTTATACAAATGAAATTTCATTTCATTAGCCGAATTGCTAAAACCCGACTGGGGTAAAATAAATATCAACACAACGACGTCGAGCAAATTAGGCTTACAGTATTTTACATGACATCGAAGCTAAACAAAATAATGTTTATATTTTACTTTTTGTGAATGAAATAAAATAAATAATTATGCACTTATTCGAAATGCTCATATAGGCTATTCGTTGTAGACGAAACCAAATAATAATTGGAAGGAGACTATAAATGCCGATTGACCATCCTAATACTTTTACTGAAGTAGGTAGAATCAAAAGGGTATAAGTGACATTTATACAATTTTATTGAATGGAATACGAACAGGTTGTGTAGTAATGTTGTGTATTATATGTTCAAGTGATGATATATTCACAACGTTAAAGCAATCGTCAAGAACGGACATATTTTCAAAGTATGAGCTGATTTGATAAGGCGCATAGACTTCAGGGATTTACGAAGCAATCCCACAGCCATTCATAACACAGAAGTTTAGTTCTTCCAGTATATAATACACCGGAACAACTATTGTTCTAGAGACACGTACAGACTTTTCCGACAAGTTTTATTTGTTTTGAAAGTTTTGGGTATAACAAAAATCCTTAACAAGTCATTCTACACCTTTCACAATTCTAATCGATTCAATGCCTTTTTTTGAGAAGGGTAATCACAACTTATATAGTTATATAAATAAATGAGTTTTGTCGTGGAACTGAGATGATATTCGTTTATAACGCTGTGTTATTCGGATAATGACATACGCTAATGTTATCTGTTTGTGTAATGGTTTGTTTTAAATTATCATTTTAACAACAGCTGTACATTTATTTGGCATTTAATATTTAGCGTTGTCCTTAAAAATAAGAAGTTCGAACAAATCTTTCTACAAAAAAGTCGAAAAAATTGCAATCATATCTGTATGTATTACTACAAAATAATACGGAAATGTGTACCAACGTTTATTGAATTGTGTAATTCTTCAAGAGACACCGGTCTTCGCCGTACTAAGAAATGTGTCTACTTGTTACTGCTAGTTTTATACATTATACAAACACTATATAGATTAAAATTAAATATTTAATCGACATAAAGTTGTACGCTGCTAATGAAAAAAATACATATTAATGAAATGATTATAATTTCAGAAATATGGACTTGGAAGAACTTTACCACAAATATCGCATTCGCCTGAAACAGTCTTTGTTTACAACATTCATAGCTGTTGGATTCGCCGTTTGCACAATCGCTCTGACATTACTATTATGTTTTTATACCGTAAGTATAATATAACATTAAACGTGTAACTCATCGCATTTTACATTACTCTTTAACAACACTATTTTTATAACGACGGTTATTTAAAATGAAAACGTATTTCTAGCGTATACAAGGGTGATTACAGCAAACGCTTTTTGTTTTTAAATAGTTTTTTAAAAATGTTTGTTGTATAAAAATCAATAAGATGTCATATTTTATTAGAATTAAAAATAAGTTAATACATTTTAATTGCTAAGTCATTGACGTCATCATTATTGTAACATAAAAAAAATATAGTAAAAAAGATAATAATTGTTGTACCTACTTAATTGATAGGTATCGCATTCATCATGATGATGGTAAAAAATATGTACAAAACTATAGTATAAACATTAAACATTATACATTTAAGTTGCTAAAATATAGTTGACCGTTTTTTACTTAGGATTATTTTAATTGATTTAAAAAACTATTTATGTTAGGTAACTAAAAACAAGTTATATCCTTATCAAATTTTCATAATCGAATTAAAAAATTTAATTATCGTTATTTTATTATAATAAAATAAAATAATTTTTTTCCAAGCCGAATAAATGTTGATCATAATTTAAATTCTTTCGAAATACAATATTAAATAAATTATTTAGTTTATTATTTCAATTTTAATGTCTTTTGATTGTCATGTTGAATAGTGAAACCATTTTTTTTCTCCAAATTTCTATGTAAACCATTAATTAGGAAAATACTTTTTAATCATACTTGTGCTTGGATCCGTTACTAAAACTCATCTTAACACGTCAATGCTTAAAAAGTTGTTTTTTAAAACAAAAATAAAAAATCGGCCTTTTAGCCCCTATAGAAAAGATGGTAAACTATATAATAAAAAGAAATTGTTGAAATCTGTTCGGTAGACACTTCAGAAAGCGACTTCGCGTTTTAGTCTTTATTTGAAAAAATTACGTTCTCCGTTCCTCTTAATGATGTTCTCAATTTTGCCATTTTAGTTATTTCCTCTTAAGCCTTCCGCCTTAGCGAATGTACAAGAATATTATTTACTGACTATAATAGTTTCCTTACTTTTGCAACAATATTTTTTTCCTTTTTTGAGAATTATAATAATATAAGAGTTAAGTTATTAAGTTTATTCAAGTAATTTATATTTATAAATAAACATTATTTGGTGAACACATTGGATCTAAAACTAAAAAGTGTCTGTCACATTATTGAACTAGTATTTTAAGTTTTAAGTATAAAAAAAAAGATTACTTTAAGTTATATAAACCAAATACATTCCTGTTATTTGGAGCTACGTCTTACTAATTTAATATGTTTTTGACCATACATTTCTTCTATACATATTTCTTTTTTCGATTACCTAACATTATTTCCCACCCATTTATATTTCATACCATTGGCGCGAATTTATTACTTACATTTTTTTTTTTACTTCGAATTCCATCAAATAGCTCTCGGTAAAAACATATTCTATACTAGCATAATATTATCAGTGGTGACGCCAGACATTTTCCGCGATGAAGAAAAGCTAGTCTAATATTTTTTTCAATGGGATATAATATATACCCTATCATAAATATAGTTATTATATAGTGGTTTCCTTGTTGACAATGGTGGCAGCAGAAGATACGTTAGAAATCATAAACTGAAAAAATCGTTAGAAGAAAAACTACACAAATTATTGGAGCTGTGCACTAGAGCAACTGATTTTACATACAAAGTTATCATTTATGGGGAATTTGATGGAATGGCAATGGGATCAAGACTAGCGCCAGTATTTTCGAATATTTTTATGGAATGGTTAGAAGAACAAGTATTAGAAAGTAATCGCTTAAAACCAAAAACGTGGCTTCGATGTGTTGATGACACATGTATACAACGGAAACATGCAGACGAATAATTGAAAATTTTTTTAAAACTTTTAACTAAAATAGATAAAAATATTTAATTCACAAGTGATCGAGCAAAATCAACAACTTTAGTTTTTAGACGAGCTAGTCAAGAAAAATCCAAAAGGAAACTTTGGTACAAGGGTATACAGGTAGAGACCAACTCCGACAGCTATTTACACGTAGATTTACACCATTTCCCTACACAAAAAATGGGTCTACTACACACAATGGCCATGGTCCATGAGAGCAGTAAGAATAGCCGTCAGCCAACACTCAATAGAATAAAAAAAAAATACTTACGGCAAGCACTTCAAAATAATGGATATACACTAACAAATATCAACAAAGAATTAATAAGAGGGAAAAAAACTAGAAAATGGAGATGACAAGAAAGGAATATTATTACTGCGTCACAGATCGCCTCCCCAGAATAACAAACAAATTTAAAATAAAAACAGTATTTAAAACAATTATAATAACTCGATCATTATTCCGAAGCCAGAAAGATAAAATACCAGAAATGAAAACACCATGTGAATACTAAGTACAATGCACGTGTAGTCATACATTGGATAAAATGGAAGTGCAATAGAACCCGAATAAAATTCAACACGAGAGGGATGTCGACTACAAAAGAACAGACAAATCTGCGTTATCCGAACATACAGAAACCAGTAGCTGACATGGCATTTAGTTTTAAAAGGTAAACATTCTAAACAAAGCAGCTTACTTCGGAAGCAGGATGTTCAAAGAAACAATAGAAATTGGAGAATGTCTACGCAATTTCAATAGGAAATATGGTTAGAAAATTAGCATTACACGGAAACCAATTATTTAACAAGAAAGAAAGAAACAAATGAAACCAACCGATCAATATTAAACAATAAAAGCAGCCATTGTCGAAATAAATGAAAATTGTAGAAATAGAAAAGGAAGAGCAATTTTTTTATATTTTTTTTCGAAAAACAACTTGTTTAAAATAATTGTCGTTTGTAAGGTTTTTTAAACCTTTATATTTAAATCAAAATGTACGATTTGTTTCAACTTCACACGTTAATACATACGTTACATTATAAAAAAGTACAAACATCTGCAGTTCTATTTTTTTATTGAAAAAACCCAGTAAATCATATGTACAATATGATTATGATGACATGTGGTTTATAGTATTTTAAAATATTAAAAACGAATATAGAATGATAAATTTAACATGACATTAATAACAACCACAACCGATACTTAATTATTTGTAAATTATTACTTTACGTACATATGTTATGACAACTGTGCCAGCTTTTTTATACCTGGAATTTTTAATTTTACAAATTACAGTCGAGCCAATGTTAAACAAAAAAATTGTACTCGTCTCCATTTTAGCGTCATTTTTCCTAAAAATACGTTATTATATTATTGATGACCGTTCTTAATTAATTAATTTTTTATATTATACTTTTGCAGAGAGCTACCGGAGCCGAAGTATCCCTGGCTTGCGTTTCAGTCGCTTGGCTGTCGTTTGCCAGCACTTTTGGCATGACACAATCGCTGCCGGCTGTACTCAACTCTAGGCCGGCCACCGCCATCATGTCCGTGGTCACCGTGTTCGTGGCCGCCGTGGCCACGCTTATGGGATGTGGGGCGCATGCGCTTTACATGCTAGTGCCTTTGTTGGTGGCCACACACTCGATGGTACCCTTTCACGTGGCCATGGCGTGCTCAGCTACCGTTTTAATAATCTTGGCACGCGCGTTGTTGTTGCTGACGAGAAACGAATGGTCGCCCTCCAGCCAATTTGCTAAACAAGTGAGTGTACAATAAGCACAGGGGGTGTGTACATAGATTGTGGTTTAAGCCGACCTGGATTAGATACAGACGAGCAAAAGTAATTACACGCAAAGAAACTCGCAGACCCGGTTAGGCGACAGTCTGTGCTTATCAACAATTAAAGATGTCTATTTGATGGTGGAAAAATCCAATTAAATATCTCCTTTCAGTGTTGTATTTTGGAGTAGTAGATTAGATCTAGGACATTTGTCAACACTTTACAGTTCAAAACTCACCTGGGTACTGTTTAGATGATTGGCTAGGTAGTTCCAAAAGAACGCTTCCATAAAATTTTCATTTTTTGTGCACCGAATGTTGAATATAAATAGGAATAATATTTTTTTTAGGGATAGAAACAAAACAAAATGATCTTTTTATTATGTTTTTTGTAAATGTTTGTTTTACTAATTTCATCAACAGTTTTTTTTATTGTAATTTTAATTTTTTAGTCATAAATTTATGCTTTAAATTTGACTTATGGTATAAATATCTAAATTATTTGTTTTTTTTATTAAGCGCGTTTTTTATTTTCAATGCAATAGTGATTTTAGATTATTTTTTTACTTTATTGTTTCGAGTATCTCCTATCTAAAAAACTACTTAAAATGTCGTTTTTCAAAAAACCTTATGATGTTATAAAATTAATATATACATATTAAGAGGTCTTCTGCTATGTGTACTGAAGCATTTGACATTAAGCTCGTGCTTAGATCTTTTATGTTAAGCTTGTTTTCTTATTACTGGGGTAGAGTTTATTTTAGAATTCTTGGTAATCGTGCCTATTTATGTTTTTAGTGAAATAAATCATAGTGTTCAGATGTTTGAATGGTGTCTTTTTTGAAATACACAGCCAGTAATCTGCTGTGTAAAAAAAAACATAGTTTAAGTCATTACACTATAATTGCGTTTGCTTAAGTTGGGTTCAAAGTTATCGTATTAATGTTAAAATATTACGCATGTCGTATAAATAAACGTGTCTGTTTAGCAGCTACTTGGTGCTTAAATGTTTTTACTTTAAAACTTTATATGTGAAAACTTTAAGTTTTGCATATAATTTAAAGTACAACCTTCACGTTAACATTGTTCACATAATTTTCGAGCAAAAACCATTATTTATTAAGTTGTATAATAATTCATAGTTAGATGTCATCAAAACATTTGTTACAAGCTACAGCTAAAGAAGATTTATACTTCATTAATTTGGTTAAACGATTATTTCATTGTCAGTTAGTGTAGTTGAAACTCGTGACTCATCATACATTATTTCATTTTTCATTTTTTTTCCCCAACACATTTTCAAAGTATGTCATTTCGTGCTACAGCCTTTGTATAAACTACTTCACAGAAAAATGTAATATAGCCAATTATTATACAATAAATCACAAAAATGTGTAAAGTATGCCGTACTTAATATAATTGTTCTTTAGAGAATGTAATTTCCCAAATAAATATGTTTTTAATTTGTTATCAGAAATCGATGAAAACCCGGTTTTGATTTTAAGATAACCATGCAAAATAAAAAAATGGCCTGTTAAAAAGTTTTAAATGCAGGTTTGATTATTAAAAAAACAACGGAAATGTAATTTTACATTTTTTATTGAAAATACCAACAATGTTTTAAAACATTGGTAAATTATAAATTATTAGGCATTGTATATTTTATAACTAATTTTTTTTTGGCATAGTGTTTTACTGAATTTTTTTTGTATAATAAAAAACAGGTTTTTTTTTAACTTTTTAGAACACCAGAAAATTTAGCAATATATATTGATGTTTTTTAGAGTCTACTGTCTAGATTTAAAAAAATTAGTGACGACAGTTGATTTTTAAAGCTTAACTTATTAAATCAACTTTTGAAGAGCCCAAACCTGCAAAAATGTCTCAGTTGTTTTTTTTATAATTCATTTGTAAACAACAGAGACATTTTTTTGCGTACATCTCGTGAAGCGATAGTATAATGAATTATTACTTTTTAAATATTTTCCCTTTAGATACATTTTTACATATTTATATTAAACTTTCTATTATATAAAGTTAATAGATTGTTTATTTTTAATAGAGTCGAAATTTGTTATGTCCAATTTAAATGCTGAAGTACAAATTCTAATCTTCTTGTTTTTGCAAACACGCATCAATGTCTTCAGTCACTTAGTTTATTTATGTTATAAAACGTGTTTGCTTTTAAATTATAAGTATTATATTTCATTTAGAAATGTTGAAGTGCATTTGCTTATTGCCTGTGTGACAGTTTGAGTAGGTAATTTGTTTTAATAAATTCCACCAACTGTATATCCCTAACATCCCGTAATCCTTAGGCCCGGTCGGCCTTTTAAAGTACTTCCAAATATATTTTTAATCCGTCGTAATATAACTTCCGATTACTGTGGATTACCATTTATTATTTATTTATTTTTTTTAATGTAAATTATTAATCGTTAAGTTAATACTATAGTGGTTCTATTATACTCCTGCAGTGTACACGGCCATTTTGGGCCGACGATATTTATTCGAATTTGTTGGTCAACATTAATTTGCTTAATATAAAATAGCCTAATTAAAAATACAACGGCTAACCGAAAATGCTACACAATTATTAATAATATTTTCACATAAAGAACACTTAAACATAATACTCGAAAAAGGCAATGGTGTTGGTCCGAATATAAAAAACTTATATATTTCTGGTCGTTATGGGTCTGAGCTAACCTCAAACAGTTATCGTCCCGGCTCAACTGCAGTCCTCGTACTATTAACTATTATGAGCTTTGGATTTAGGATAGGACCACAAATATCAGTCACAAAACATATGTAGGAGTAAATGTTTTATATTTAATTAAAATATGTTACCTTGATTCTGTTATTACTTATACGTCTTATCTATGTAATGGCTGATCCTCTAAATTCCCCATTTCCTTCTTGAAACCCAATACACTTACGAATACCCTTTGTACAGATAATTACCGAAACTATGCTGATGGTATCAGCAAGCTGTACTGGCTGGTATTACCAGTTCATGACGCACAAAGCCAATAGGATAATGTTTTCCGGTACTAGGACGTGCATCGAATCCAGGATCAAGCTGGAGTGTGAAAAAGAACAACAGGAACAGCTATTGCTCAGCGTCATACCGGCTTACATCGCCGCCGAGGTGAGTGTTATTAAATGTTCATATTTAGTAGATTGACACTTAAATGGAAATCAAATATTAGGTAAAATATATTAAACATGTTATGATTAAACCGTTTAGGTAAACTGTTGTTAAAAACAAAATATTTGTTTAATACAAAATATAGAGAATAATATTTCGGCTGTGTTAAAGTGGTGAATTATGAACTAGGGTTTAAATAATAATATTAACTTGATGTACTCACTCTTTTTTCTATGACCAAGAAATCAGTCATTTTTAGCTGTAGTCAGTATAATTATTTTATACAGTTAAACAATTTTTATGGTGATTTAATTATATAGTTATCGTCAAAATAGTGTATAATTTTTTTTTAGAAAAATATACAACCTTTATAGATAAATTCGTACAAGAAGCATATGTAATGAAAAATATAAAAATTAGCATTGCATTGCTTATTTTGAGATAATCATCCATTTATGGAATTCCAGTAGTGCATAAAATAAAAATCATATTTCGGTATTGTTAGTTATTATTTGTATTTGTGTACCTATATTAAGAAAAGAATATTTTCCCCTCTAGTATTCCTCTTATCTTAAACAAACGAGGTCAACCACTATAATTCACTTCCTGGTATGACACCACGCACACCACATACTCCACAGTCCACATCTCAGTTAATAAAATCCACCGTTATTTTTCTCTGGTGTCCTTTTTCTTGGGTTATCCTGATGATAATATATCCAAAAAATTATACATTGAATTAATACGTTTCTTTACACGATATTGAAAAATATGCTCTATAAACAGTACCTATGTGTATTTATAAAGAAATATTAATGAATATGGAGATGCTAAGAAAGAAAAAATTTGATGTACATGTATGTTATGTAGATATAAATCGTATTAAAATGATGACCCGTCATTATATGTAAGTTACCATTATGCACTGTTTGCTGAAATATCAAATACGAATCTACAGTTGACTAATTCAGATATATTCTTTGGATCTTACGATTATTATATTTTGTTTTTCTAGAAAACTCGTTAGACTATGACTACAAATAAATGTTTTAAATAAGTACATTTGTAACTACAAAAGTATTCATTCTTAACGGGTTAACAACCAATCAGAAACAATTTTAATATGTAAGTTCTCATGAAATACTGTTTTATATTATAACTGTTAGTATTAAAACAAAATATAATTTTGCATTCCCTATAGTGTATACAGCATTAATAATTTTTTCCCCCCATCAACAATAACTTAGTGTGTCACACCTAAAACAAATAACAACGCGTTTAGTACAGTTGTATAAATAATAAGCAAAAACGAGGAATGAGTTACTTCAAAATTCTTATGGAAGTAATAATATATATTTTTAAATACAAATTATACTCATACGTTCATAACAAATGTGATCAGTTAACCGAGAATAACGTTATATAATAAAAAAATAATGATTTTAATGACTCATTTAATGGTATTGCGCACTATTATTTCAATGTCTCAAAATATATCAATAGAAGAAGAAGTGTGCTTCGATGAGTTAATTAAAATACTCGGTCTGTCTATTCTCAATAATATGAACATAACATATATAATCAAAACAAGACTCTTAGTCAAATAATCAGTTCAAACATAAAAAAATAAGCGTCCAAAGACGTGAAAAGCATAACTGGCATGTCGTTTACTGCGTTGTTATGTGTGTATTCTCAAAAATTAATTGTTACTATACAAATAGTGGAAACACATACGGAAATGTAAAAGAGAATCCAAATTATCACAAGTAGGTTTTAAAATTCCAACCATTGAAAATATATGTATTCAATGTTTGGCAAAATGGGAACTAAAAACACTAATATAATAGCTAGAATAGACATTTTTTGAAAGCAATAATGTCAATTTGGTTATTAACATCACAAATTTTATTTATATGGTACCTTGGAAAAGAGGAGAGGGGGTAAAAGTTTTCTCCATCATCCTTAAAATAGAGAAAAACGAAAAATAACCATACGCATTTTCAATTTTTGACTATACTAGCTATAATTTCGAGAAAATTGGTTAGGTTAGGTTAGATTTTCATGACTTGGTTTTATAAAGTAGTACATTTCTAGGTTATAATAATTTCAGTTATAAAAATGAATGTACTAATAATGACTTTTGTCCTCTCCGACCCAATATGCCTCCACCCCACTGTACTGTTTTTTTTTTCAACAAATTTTCCGTTAAACTACATTTTAAAATTATACTATACCACTTTTATCATTTTAACACTAAGTGTAGTTCACCTTAATATGATATTTTTGCAAAAAATGTATAAAACCCATACATTTGTAATAGTTATTTTTTATTTTGCTAATTATTCAATACCAATACTATAGAATACCTAAAGTTTAGTGATTAAAAAATATGTTTCTTATCTTTACACTCTACAATTTATATAGGTAACTGTATATAATTTTTTTTAAATTATCTTCTTTCAAGTCTTATTTTGAAATATAGCATACCAGTATTACACTATCAATCAGTTGTTGCTTACAATGATTACATAATTTGGTAAACTGGGAAACAAAAAAATATTTTTATTATTTAATCCTTCACTGCATGAATTTTTTTTTAACCATATGCTATACATGTACTTAATACTACTTAAAAATACATTTTTTTTTTGAGTTTTGGTTTCATGGAAAACGCTAATTAAAGAATTGTACCAAATATGGAACATTGTGCATCAAAGATGTATAGCATGAGCAGAGATAAACAATAAATATAATTGTTCCATATATGGAACATTATGCAGTGAAGGGTTAAGTATTTAGAAATTATTGAAATTAATGTTTATCGTATTAAAAACATGTTAACATTGATATATATATATATATATATATATTATGTATGGTCAACAAGATCAGTAAAAATTATTTTAGGATTAAAACATGTATATATATATTTTCATTGTTATTATCCTCGGCAGCAAAGGTCATTGGGTTACATTAAATTAGATTACCATGAATACAATGCATTTGACTATACATTTGTTATACATTAAAAAGCAAACCATTGATAAATAACAGTTAATTTTATTGAAAATTTTTTATAAATAATTAATAATTAAGTCGGATTTAGTTATAAAATTTATAAGTTTGTTGATTGCTTCAAGATTAGGACCCGAGTGTAAAAACACGGTTAATATTATAAGTACTATATTTTTGCGTTTATGTACAATCTAGTCGTGACACACTCAAATAACGACAAATAAATATGTTTTAAACATTCATAAACCCGAATCAGTGGGTACAGCTGTAAACAAAAATACTTCGAAACAACGTATTAAACACAACCAAAGTTTTTAACCAGCATTAAGAATGTGTTTTTTATAAAAAAAAAATACATGTTCTATTAATCCGATAAAAATATATAACATCAGTTAGCAAAGAATCAAGTTAATGTGAACTATAATCATCAAACATGTTTTCAATATTTTGGCCAGTATTGTATTGTGCTATTTTTCCAATTTCTATTAGCGATTTGGTGGTAAATGAAAAAGTGAGCGTCGACGAATTGATAAAACTACCCGGCGTAACCATTCTGAAGGACGTGGAAATATGGAAAACCAACCAAACTATGTCACTAAGTAAAATATTCGGTTCAAACATAGAAAATTGGAGCGTTCGAAGAAGTGACTTAAAAAGTATAACCAACATATCCTCAACAGCTCTGTGCTGTTTATATTCTAAGCGGTTAATCGATACCATACAAGTAGTGGAAAAACACATCAGGCAATGCGAAAAAGAACGAAATGTGACACAGGTAAATTTTAAATTTGCGCCAAAAGAAACCAGTTTTATCCAATGCATTTCAAAATTAAAATTAAAACCATTGCGATCTATCATTCTTCATATATTATTAACGGTATTGAACTATGCAAAAAAGTTCAATGTAAACGTCGATAAGAATTTTTTAAATGCAGTTATGTCATTTTATTTATATATCAATCAAAGGGAAATAGATACATTGTACATCAATGTGCTATTAGAACAGGATTCGTTTAGGAATAACTTTATTAATAAGTTGTCCCGTATGAAATTGTATGTCCAAAACTCCATCGAAGCATTTACGATCATGAACTGCTCTTCGACGACATTTGACGAAAATATATTTGAAACGACAAACGATGGCATATTTTCCAACTTCGTGTTACACGAAACCCACTTTAAAGCAGAGTACTTTAAGCCGAAAAATTTGATGTTGTCCAACATTCTAGAGATTGAGTTAATTGCAGGTAGAGAACAATCTCGTCTGAAACACTTGAGTGTATCTTATAATTTCCAAAATGTAAATCTGGAAAGAGTTTATAAAAGTTTACAGAACGGTCAATTTGCTGAAAACTTAACTAAATACCAGACAATGATGTTTGAATGTATTTCATCAGTTGTTTTTTATTTGATAAAAACTATTTTCAAAATACAACACCAGTTATACGAGTACTGTGAAATTGTTGAAATCCAAACACTACCGTGTGTCAATGCAGCTATAAATACTTTAGAACGTTTTGATTTTCCTGGACTTACCCACACAACTTTAAGAAAAATAAATTATGAAAAAATGTTTAGACCAAGGGGTAATCAAATCATTCAACCAATAAATACACATTTTCAGATTTCCAATTTTTCCAGTGAAAGAATTGCGGAATTCATTAACGCTGAATTGAACGGGAAAAAAAAATTACAAGACTATATTGAAATATTAGACAATTTTACTTATAATTTAAAAAATATGACACCCTATATTAGAGCTACAATTGATATAAATAAACATCAAGTTGATTTTGAAAATGAGGTTCAATTCGTGCAATACGATTATACGCGCAATAGTCCAATTCCACTGATATTTAAAAAATATAACTGCCAATTTGCTTATACGTTTATAAAGCATTTTATGCTAACCGATTTTTTAATATTACAGTGCGAGGCATCAGCTTTAGCTCATGCAAAAAACCTAAACGTCTCAGCATCCTACA